TGGTAATTTATTTTTTTCCATATTCACCTAACCAAATAATTAAATATTAATTTACCCAAATATATATATATCAATAAGACGAATATATATACACCTAAATTTCTATACTTATTATTGATGCGTAAATTCTCACGACTCGGAACGACGGCGTTTACCTGCAAAACAAAGGGACGTCACTTCGAATGGCACCAGTGGGGTGTCAGCCAAGGACCCTCCGATGATCAAGTTAGTACCTGTCATCATATCACATAATAATTATGTATATTATCTTTAGGGATTTTTTTCCGTACCTTCTTGGTGCCCTATTTATGGTTGTCGATCGTAATCAAATTGGTCTCGCGGGAGATCTGCTTGTGCGAGATTAGAGGAGATCGTCTGTTGCCAGATTTGTCGGGGATATGATTTACTCCTTTAACTTTCTCAAATTATGCCAAGTTTATCCTCCAATCACGTCGTCACTCATTATCCTGGATAAAAAATGTCATCATTTTTTTCTGATAGAATTTTTTATCTCTGATAACGAAATACGTCGAAGAGGTTTGGCGGCCGGTCAAGGTAGGTTATTTTTCCCTATCACTTATTATATTCTTTTTTAAGAATGAAATATTTGGTCACACATTAAGGATTTGTCATTTGTATAGAATAAATAGTTTATTCCGTAAGAAAAATATATAGTATTAATATATATATATATATATATATATATATATATATATATATATATATATATATATTACATTGTATTTCATTTGATTTTTTAGATAAAGATAATAAATATATATATATATATATATATATTACATTATATTTTTTTTAATCAATTTTTTACATTATATTTCATTTGATTTTACTGTCTAATTTTGTGTAAGCTCTTTTAATGTAATTTCAACTTCTATTCATCTTTTATTATTTTTGTAAGGAGAATCTTGAGGGACATTTTCGTACTTTTGCTTATCTCACTTTGTTTCAATGACAATAAATCCTTATTTGCTCACTTTTCGGGCTAGTTTGGTGTGGTGGAATGGAATAAAAGAAAATGGTTTTTGTTTTTGTTTTTTTTTTTTTTTCATTATCGTGTTTGGTGTCAATTTTAAAGTTGGAATCACCATTCCCTACTATTCTTGGAGAATGGTCATTCCATCAAAATCGTTCCACCTTCAAACAAAAGGAATGATCACTCAATTCTATTCTCATTCCATTCCCACTTCCATTCTCATTCCATTCCAATTCATTCCATCACACCAAACTAGCCCTTCATATAATAGAGATGAATTTAAATATGAAAGGTATTATTTACCCACTTTTCAAACTAAATGTAATTTTTTTGCACTTCACCCCATTTATTCTTAGCATATTACAATATTATTGCTATGTTCTTAAATAATTTTAGAAACTAGAAATGCACTATTCAAGTAATAGCGGCAAAAAAACTATCACTGTCATGAAAATTGGGTTACATGTAATTAAATATTGCACCATACATCTTACACAAGTTTGGTCCACAGTTGTTGTTGTATTGGGATTTCAATACTTTAACCAATTTCGTGGGTTAACTGGAATTATAACTTTAAACTTTTACCATGTGAATTTTTGTGTGAGTTGATATGTTGATGATCTTAAAATTTAGGTACTGAGCACAGTATAAAAAATAATACTTCAAATACATGTCACTTAAAGAATATACTTAATAAAAAACACCTATTCATGCGAAAATCTCATATTCATATAGATTAACATATTACTAGAAGGAATAAGATATTATTAAGGAGACGATATTCGCATCCCACTTTTTTACAATTACATTACATTTTTTAAAAAAATGACACTTTTATCCTTAATTTTATAAATAAATAATTATTTCCTTTCAAATACCACAAATACCCTTTCAGCCTCCCCCTCCCCAATTAACCTTTTGGGTCACTTCCAGCATCTCTCTCAATTCTTTTTATTAAATATCTCTCATCTTTCTCTCTCTATCTTTGCTTAGGTTTAGTATTCATCTTTGTAACTAATAATAAAACTTATGAAAATTTTTACACATGAAGACATGGTGGAGTTGAATAAAGTAATTGATCTTGTTAGTACATAAAGTATGGATGAACTATCAAATCTTCATGAGTCATTCTAATTGATCTTGTCAGTACGGGAAGCATGCATAAAGTATCAAATCTTCATGAGTCATTCAACTCCATCTATGATAATGGTGATAATAAATATTTTTTTTTCCCTTTTGGTATTAATTGTAGGCCATATCCAAGGAAAACATATTATCTCCTTCAAAAATTCAATTAAAAAAAAATAAGGGATGAAACCAAAATCACAAGAACGAAAGAAGGAAAAAAGAAGGAAGATAATGAAACCAAAATCAATGAAAAAACTAAACCCAATTGACACAACTTTATTTTTATTTTTATTTATTTTGGAAAAATTATACTTAATTGACTCTCTTTTATTTTATATATATTTTTTTATGGTGTCTAAAACCAACTAAGAGTAATCCATCACAAATCTCTCTTCTTTTCTTTATGAATCATAAGTCCATGTTTGATTATTATCCCTTTTTCTTTATGATTCATAAGTCCATGTTTGATTATTATCCATACATGAAAAGTAAAAACTATAAATAATACCAAATTTAATACTAGGATTTAAGAAAAAAATGGAACTGTAATGGTCCCTTCCTTTTAATGATTTATTTGGATATTTTAAGTTCTTAAAATAACTTCAAATAATTAGGTATAATTTTCCAAAAGTAAAAAAAGAAAGTTTACAATGCAAAGGGTAGTTAGGGTATAATAAAATAAAAGATGATGGATTAATTAGTTTAGGGACTTTTTTGTCATTTATTTAAAGATAAAATAAAAGTGTAGTGCAATTGTAGAAAAGTGGAGTGCGAATATCGCCTCCCTATTAGAAAATTATATAGAAATGTAATGTTAACCTGTATGAATAGAGCTTTTCTAGTAGGTCTATTTTTTGTTAACGTTAGGTCTATGTTTTTCATCTTTGGTAATTTTTTTTTCGTATCTCTCATGGGTGAAAAATATCACGACTAGAATTTTGTGAATACTGCAAATTCTTATTACTATAGTTTTGTGTCATAAGGTTGGTTTGTATTTAGTGGAGGTTGGATATGAAGATTTGCAGGAGACAGAAGAGAGACCCTAAAAGAGGGATTCTAAAGAAATTTAAATTGGGAAAAAAATATTTATATATTGGATTTTGGTTTAACCAGTAAAAAATTAGATATGAACCATTATTAGAAAATTTTAAAACTTGAATATGTGTCTAAATTGTATTGGACCACATGTAATTGGAGGATGAAACTTCATCCTCCTAAGAAGGACCCTAGTATTGTCCTTATAATTATATACACTTTTTACCCGTCTGATTTGAAAACTCATCTCGCTCCCGCGTCTTGAAAGACTAAAAATTTATAGGTCATACTAAAATTTTGTTATCTATTAAAATAATTTTAAGATGAAAAATCAAATTAAAATATATCTAAATAAAATCTTAATAGCTAGTCAAACATGACGGTATCAAGTCCTTTTATTTAAGAAATAACAGCCAAACACTAATCAAGTTTTTTTCCTCATCTTTTATTGCACGAAATACTACTACTATTTCTGTCCCTATTGAGGCTCCATTTTTATTTTTAATTAATTCCATGTTTTGTTTCTAGTATACTATTCTAACCTTTCTCTGGATATTCTTCTTTATTTATTTGTAATGCCATTGAACAATTTATTTCTCTTTTTTAATAGCGTTAATTCTGCTCATTGTTTTAACATAAGAGTTAAACTCACCTATGATTATCTCTATTTAATATAGGACGAAACACCTAAAAAGGGTCTTTAATTTTATTTTTCTCGACATGAAACTTCAATTTTTGATACTCGTAGGGGACTTCAAGGATTTGTCTCGCTGGTCTTTAGTCAAGTGGATAAACATGACAATGAGGGTGCTCACATGGACACGCCAATTCGACTTTTATGAATTTTGTAAATATACATAGCTAAATAATTGAAAGAAAAAAAAATAGTAATAGTATATAATAGTAAAAAAAATCTTTTTTCCTTGGGTCCCGGAGGCAATGATCATGATACCTTCGGCTTCTTCTGGGTCCCTTTCTTTTGACCTTTTCCCAGGAAATTTAAGCAAATGAATTAATGAATCAATATGAACAAAGATGGCCTGAGGTAGGCAACAGTAGAATGGGCCTTTCGGCCCAATATAAAAGGTGAAAGACCTTATCCATGGAGGCTTAAATTTGGCCCAATGGACTGTACAAACAATCTGAGGTTCAATAGAAAAGGTGAAAGACCTTATCCAAGGAGGCTTGAATTTGGACCAATGTACTCTACAAAACAATCTAAGGCCCAAATCAAGACCCAGATAATTCAAAAGATGCAACCGTTGCAACTGAATGTGCAGTGTACACATATTCATTGAACTCCCATCAAATTATATATATATATATATATATATATATATATTGTGAACTTTGCAATTTTGATTTCATACTAGTTGATACAGTGCCTCCCTGTGGAACAAGTTACCGAGCCGGATTTGAGAAGATCGATTATAAAACATTAATTGTTGAGAGAAACTTAAAAGTTATTTTTGAACAAATAACTACTCCCATAGATTTTGAAAACAACTATTTGGAAAAAGTTTGATGCCTTCTTTTGTGCAATCAATATATATATATATATATAAATCACAGATTGTTATGGATAATTTGTTAATTACCATACCTATGAAAAAGATTATATTAACGATGAACAGTAATAACATGAATAATTGACCAAAAGTCTTTATCATTCACGCAACGAAGATATATAATAGTTCCAAACCAACATAATACATACCCTTAAACGTTTACACAATAATGCAGACAATAATAATACAAACAAGATGCATCATGCATACCCTTAAACGTTTACACAATAATACAGACAATTATCATACAAACAAAATACATAAATTCCCATTTATTTGGTCACTGGTTTACGCGGAAATGGTACTGGTACTTGCATTACCTCAAGAGTATGCAGCAGATCCAGGTCTATCCTGAATTTCAGATTGATGAGGACGATGATTCCACCATTGAGAGTGTTACAGACCCGTTTAAGTATGGTACAATATATTTCATTATGTCACTATCAGAAATCTCCACATGCTGTCCTGACACATTTACGAATTGAACCTTTCCGGCTTCAATCAAGGTTTTCAAACCGATCCAATCATCTTTGTACAGTGTTGTCTTCATGGAGGAAGATTCAGATTAAAAAAAGAAAAAGAAAAAGGAAAGAACAAGAGAATACAGAGTTAGGTTGGACTTGAATTGAGTTGCACAACTTTTTGTTGGCATATATAATTAGATATACGTAGTATAAATTAAAACCGGACCTTATAAAATGCAAGCATGCATATATACTTACCTCATTTGCAGGCAAAACATCTTTATAAATCCAATCCGGCCCTTCTGGATAAAACCCAAACCAGGAGGTTTCCTTAGGTACCAAAACTTCGTCTTGATCACACTGATATATATGCAGAATACAGACATAAAAGGAGGCATCATCACTACTAAACTGAAAACATTTTCTAACTCCAAAACACAAGTATTGAAAATTACATACAAATTAAATACAAGTACTCTTCAACGTAGTACGTGCGTACCATGATAAGCACCAAATTATCCAAGCTAGCAAACCGTTCCTTGTAAGCAGAGTTTCTACAAATAGCGAGTTCATTGTTGAGCCTTGGAAGAAACTCACTTCCTCGTAAATAATCAGGAATATCCTGGGAAATTAAAAAAAAAATCCCTGTGTTTTCAGCTCTAGCTTATAGTAGTTAGGAAGATCATATCAATGTACATATAATATATATATATATATGAAAGGTTGCAATAAGGAATAAAAATTGTGTGTGTATATAGCAGGCCATGTAGAGTTAATAACAGGGCAAGCTGTGAATGTGATGTAACATATTTAATCTAAGCACGATTGAGTCAATGGACCATGCATATCATGATCAAGTTTTGGGGACAAATTTTTAGCAACATTTCCACCTAAAAAACAATTTTAATTACTTACATCTGGAATTTTAATATAACCCGCAGGTGCCAAGTTTTCCTGCAATATATATATCACCATCAAATGTTATTTAGTCCGCCCAACCACGAGAAAACGGCAGGAAATTAAGAAACAACACAATGAAATCGTGACAAAGAGCTAGGAATGAAAAAATTATTTCTCAACCAAAAAAACAGAAAAAAATTGTGGTGAAAAATATTTCCCATATCGAAAATCTGATTGAATGTACGTTGCAATGTAAATTAATATTAATATAAGAAACCTTAAAAAGAGAAATCTTGACCTGTACATATTGGCTGTAAACCCCAAGTTGTTCGATTATGGTGTTCAATATCAAGCACTCCTCCGGTTCAGACTGCAGAAATATCAAAGCAAGACTGCACAATTAATAGGGGTGCATGTGTAGAAGAGGAAATTGCACACACACACACACACACACACACACACTAAATAGTAATTAATGCTTCAATCAAAATATTTTTTACATTTTGTCCATAAAGTTCTTCTAATTAATAGACTATTTCAAACTTAAATTTTACCACAGAACCAATATAGAATATGTCCCTAAATAATTTAAGATATGACAATAACTAGATTTTAGCATATATTTAAATAATAATAATAATAATAATAATAATAATTTGAATTAGAGAAATAGTTAGAAAAAAAAAAAGTTGCATGCATTAAGACAAGAAGCCCTTACACAAGGAGGAGAAGCTACCCCAGCATGAGGACCTGCAAGTGATACGTAATTCTTCACCTGTTTCAAATTTTTTATTTTTAAAGTTACATAAAATTGAATGGCATATGTTGACAGAAAACAGAAAATCAGTGGTGCCACGGAATAAGGAGATCGAGTACTAGAACGTACAAATGGACAAGAATAAAGACAAGGAAAGTAGTAGATGTACATATATGAAGTATTCTAATACCGGGGTGCCTGAATACGAGTATACCTACTCGGGAAGATGTGCCGCTCTATCGATTGGCCACTAATTAAGTAACACCCGTTTTTCTCTAGAATTCTTTGATCTCTATGGTTTATTTATCAATATTCACAACATGATCAAAGAGAGCAAAGCATGCCAACGCAAGACCTATAAATCTCTTGTTTTTGGATTTTAAATCAACTATCTTCAAAGATTGACCATCTGAATAAAATTCCTTGAAGCTGTCTAAATTTGCAATGTCTCAATATATATTCCAAGTTCATAACCTTACAAGTGTACGTTTGTACTCAATAATTTCCTTATCTGTTCTATTTTGTTTTGTTCAAAAGTAGTCTAGTTCTTGAAATGATTTGGAGCTCCTATAGCCTATTATTAACTGACTAACAAACAATTGGCTCAATAGTAAAATATTTTTTAATTTTTTTATTCATCAATTTTCGACAAGTTATTTATATGTCTCACTTGATGGACTCGATTTTAACCTCGGCCTAAACCTTTGCCAAACTCTAAAAAAAAAATAAAAATAAAAAAATATATATTTTACATGAAAAAAGAAATGTCCAAACAAACGAATACTTGAAATGATTTTGTTTTGTTCAAAAGTAGTCTAGTTCTTGAAATGTTTTAAGCATTATCCATATTTGGATGCAATGATAAAACTAAATCAGAGTTTGTAAATAATTAGTTCTTACAGGAGGTGCTTCGTCACAAAACTCAATAAGTCCTCGAGCTACCATGTTACCCTGCAAAACAGTTAAATGTACAAATTATAAAACCAACACAAATATTTATAGTTTGATAAAATCATTAGAAGGGGATGAAAAAAAAAATGAAACTGTATATATTTAATCCGTTAGGAAATTAAATTGTCCTTGATGAAATGAAGTGAAATTAAAATAAAAAATTGCAACCACCCTTGCTTGTCACCTGAGAAATTGCAACTATGTTGTAACCGTCACTGAGTTCACTCATGCTCTTGACCTGTAAATTAAAGAAATTAAGTACTAGTTGAATTAGAAAAATCCGAACTTGAAATGCCAAACCAACGAAAATAAAGCAAACACATTTCTTGACAGTTTTACTACCTTTTCACAAGCAATTGCCGTCTACAAAAACAATATGCAACACAAGAAGTGTGTTAATTAAGAATTAATTCTAGTAAATCATAAATCATGAGGCACATATATATATATATATATATATATATATATATATATATATATATATCATAATTTACAACTTTCCTTGCACTTAAAAAGAAAAAAATCACCTGATTCATAAGGGGCATATAGATGGAACTGTTGTATCCATCTCCAATTTCTCTAAATGTGAGCCAAAAAATCAAATGATTAAATTCAGTAATGAACCAAAAATACTAAGGGCTCACTCAAAACGAACAAATAAATGAGGAAATTAATTAGGCAATAAGAGAAAATCAATTGAAAGCAGTAAAAAATCATATAGTGTGTGTGTGTGTGTATATATTTTACTCTTTTCTAACCCTCATATAGTGTGTGTGTGTATTTTACTCTTTTCTAACCCTCTAACATTCTATTTTAAAAGAGAAATATTTTACCAGATATAACGGGTGGACGCTTGCCCATTTACGTAAAAAGTCAAGTTGTTGGGTAGTTCTGCATACCCACCCATTTATACCCAATCATTTTCCCATCCGGATCCGATATAGGACAAATGACAATTGTTACATTCTCCCTCACCCGAACCTACGCAACGCCCTCGTTGCAGTCGAACTACCCTACCTACCAGGGGTAAAGATCTGGACACCCTACTTGGCGTGACACCGAATCAAAAATTGAGTCTGACTCTGATACCAACTGTAACGGGTAGGCACTTGCCCATTTATCCAAAAGCTCGAGCTGTTAGATAGTGCTGCATATGCACCCATTTATACCCAATCACTTTTTCATCCGGATCCGATGTGGAACAAATAACCCTTGTTATACCAGACCACAGGTCCACAACCTTGATGCTTATAATATAACAAGACATTAATAATGTAACAAAAAGTATTCTTAGACAGAGTCACGTGGTAAATTCTACCATAAGAGATTAGGTTCATACAGACTATACTTATATATCCCTCCGTCTCAAAATAATTATCCACCTTTTTCATTTTTGGTTGTCCCATTTAGAGTATTGTTATTTACCTCGACAAATAAAAACCTACTACTTCACGAGTCTATACGGCTACCTATGTGTCAAATATAATGGGACTCATTTTAAAATATAAGGTAATTAACTATTTGGAAAGTTGTAGTCCATCTTTTTAAGTTTCATCTTTATATAGTATCTTTGTTGGCGATTAAAGTTTCAATCACCGTGTATATCAAATTATATATATGTTTTATATATACATTACATTAAATCTCTGTAAGGCATAGATATTTAAGATTGCATCTCCTATATATAATTAGATAGGCATTTATTCATTGCTATAATGATCAAAACTAATGATCTGTATGTGACTCCATAAACAAAAATAAAGAAAGGAATTTAAAAAAAAAATTGCAAAGCAGATTTTGTACCAATCAAATTCTTATATTTGAGTGCCATGAAAGTTGATGTGAAAACGAAAAAAAAAAGGACGATACCGTTACGGAAAACTGAAAAGATAAAAGAAATGAGTTATGGAAAACTAAGAAGACAAAGAAACAAAAATTAAGGTATTTTATGAAAACAAACAGGAGTAATAATAATGTTTATTTAAGTTGAAATTTTATAATAACACGTCATATTTTTTTATCTTTATCAGTTTTAAACCGGGGTATTAAAGTCGTCAATAATATCATTTCCGATAAAATAAATAAAAAAAGGGAGGGATATTCAAACTCCATTTTTCTACACTTGCACTCCACTTGCTTTTTTTCTTCTAAATAAAATGACAAAAAGATCTTTAAACTTGTTAATGCACCGTTTCTTATTTCAAAGTACCAGAGGTATCGTTATACAAGTATAAACTTTAAAACTTACGATTTATCTCAAAAAAAAGAAAAAAAAAAAAAAAGAAAAAAAAAGTATAAAAAGTAAAAAAATTTAAAGTTTATACTTTTTTTTTTTTCTTTTCTTTTAATGTTGTTGAGGGAAGAGATGGTGGAGGGGGCCTTGTTATATAATTTATTCAACAGAGGTAATTTTTATTTTATTTTATTTTATTTTTATGTATTATACTTTTTCTGTTTTGTGTACTATATTTTTTAAAATAAAATTGTCAAAAAAGATAATTTATTCAATACAGAGAATTTATTCAATAGAGATAAGGTTTGTCTTTCTTGTTTTTTTTTTTTTTTTTTTTTTTTTCAAAAGAGAAAATTTATTCAATTGAGATAACTATTTATTTTTGGTTCAATGTTGTTTTTGTATTTCTTATTTTTGAGTTTTGTCAAAATAGATATTATTCGAAAGAACCTTTTTGTCCCTTTTTTTTAACACTATCAAATCAGATAATTTATTTATATATATATATATATATATATATATATATATATATATATATATATATTTTGGGTTTGTTGATGTCAAATAGACCGAAAATATTAAAGATGAGAGGGAGAATGAGAGACAATCATATTTAGAAGAAGGGCAGTTGTATGATTTGAAAATAAACAATCATTCACTTACAAAATTAAGGTTAGAAAAGTCATTTAATTTTAAATTAAAGTGCAAATGTAAAAAGGTAAAGTACAACTTTTATTACCTTAAAATATACTAAAATTTATCTCTTTAAAAAATTAGATGGGAGACATTTATTTTGAAATGTAAAATTAGAACTTACATGCAATATCCTTGAGAATCGGACCAAACAATGAGTTTCTGAGTCATAATTGAGACTTTATTAGTGCAATTATCTGCAATACCTGCCATAATTTTCACAAAAAAGGGTAAATATATATATATATATATATAATTCGGACCATAGATTCACAGTTTCGGTGAATAAAATTAAGTAAAGAATATTAAAGAACTAAAGCATTATAGAAGTACTTGATATCATTGTCAAAGCACATGAACAGTTTACAATTGAAATTAGATATAATACTGTAAATGTTTATATGATCCATGAGTTCATCCATTCTTGTAGTATTGACCGACAATTCTAATTTCATGATCAAATAGCCCATTCGAATGCAATTTTTGCTTTTTGAAATTAACTACGCGGGTCTTTACAATTAAAATTTTATAAAATTCATTTATATGGTCACATAGTTTGTTCAAAATTTTATTTTATTTTTAATTTTTGTACAAAATTTGACCAACCCGTATATTTTTAAATATATCTAGAACTCGTTTTACACACTCCTATATACGTTTGAGTTAAGACTGAAGAGGTGAGCTGAAGTGGCAGCAAATCGGTCCCATCCCAATTTATCCAACGATTTCGTATCACTTCAACTTTTCTATTCGGTCCAAGGCATCAGTGTGATTCTTTAAATATGAGTAACACAATGACGTGAAAGGTCAGCTATTTTTTTGTGTTGAAAATATATTAAGAGTAAGAAAGAACTCAAAACAGGCGGGACGGACTCAAAATATTAGGTGAAGCGGAAGAATAAAATTTTTAAATAATTTTAGCGGCAATAGTAATATTTTATGAATATATAATAATAAAAATAAAATAATAAGATATTTCAATAAAAATAAAAATTTTGAGGGGGACTATTAGGTCGTGACAAGAAATATAAGAGTATATTTGGCAATCTATTTTATTTTGTGTTAATGTTTTTATTTGAAACACAAATAACGTATTTGTTTTTATTGTGGAGTGTGTTTAATAGTGACTAACAGTATAATATAAAATTTGTTACAATATTTTTGTAAACAAAAACATATATAATAAAAAAGTACATATACATTGCAAGATTGAAAAAAGAAAAAGAAAAAAAATTTAAAGTATTGCAAGATTGCTAAGTGTTTTTGTTACCGTGTAAAAAAATTAGGAATTATCAATTTAGTGTTTTTAATTTGGGCATCGATCTTTTTGGTAATAAACGCATTACTATTCAAATCACAATAAAAAGTTTTAGTGCTTTGCTTCGCTACCATACACCACCCACAACACAAAATAAGAAACAAAAACGATTGCAAACATAATCGTAAGAGTGTTGCTTTTGAAAATGAATCAAAGAATTAAAAGCTTATATATAAGAATATATATATATATATATATATATATATATATATATATATTCTGAAAACAACAAAAACATAAAACACATATAATGTGAACAAAAATGTTTATAAACCCTTATGCCCCGTTTGACATGCGTTTTGTTTCTGCTGTTTTTATTTTTAGGTTGCTACAGTGTCGATTTTAGCAACAAAAGCGTGTTTGATATGGCAAATACTAAAACACTTCGTGAACAGTAGCCCAAAACAAAAACACAAAAAATTATTTTTTCTTGTTTTAACAACTGTTTATGGCCCAAAACTATAACAGTAGCGCAATACGGATCAAAATGCTTAAAACATCATTTCCAAACGTGCTTTCGATTTTTTTTTAAAACACTCGTACAACAAAAATACTATTTCTGTTATAGTTAAAAACAAAATAACTAAAACAAAGTACATGTCAAACGGAATAACAATGTGAATACACAAACTTTTTTATGCAAAAGAAAAAGCATTTTAATTGAAAAAACAAAACAAAAAATGAAACTCAATGCTCACACGAAAACAATAGACTAGCTAGTCTCATACCTCCTCAAACTCTTCAATGAATGCTGATTAATTAGTAATGTAACTAACTAAACTTCATCCAAAAAATTAAAAAAAAAAAAAGAAGCATGAGGGGCATTGAAATTATATATATATATATATATATATATATATATAAATTACTAATAAAGTACAACTAATCATTAATCACAGAATGTACTGGGAAAGAATAAGAAGGTTGACTACCATGGAACACCACAAAAGGGAGAGAATTTGTGGTTGCTATGACACTCATCATGAATATGAAGATGCTGAAAGTAGTAGCTGCAGCCATTGTTTTGGAGAATAAAATATATTAGGGTGTACTTCTTGCGACAATATGAGAGTTGTAGGGAGGAATGCAGAGAATGAAGAAGGAATACATCTATATATAGAGGGAAGCTGGAGAGAGAAACTAGAGAGAATAATGGATTGATACGGTTAGGTTGGGGGTACGTGGACTATTTTTTAATAAAAATTAAAATGTTTATCATGCGGGTAACATGACAAAGCAGGATAGATGATATCATGCGATTAATATTATTAATTAATTATATCTTATCACACAAATAAAAT